TCACCTGCCTGGCCGGAGACTGGGAGTGCTAAGGGAGCAAACCAGGGAGGCGGAAGAGATGCACAGGGCCTGGAGGGCAGCAGCAGGGTAAGAGGCACTTACACGAAATTCCCCCTGGGAAATGCAGCTGGTGCCTGGAGGGATGCAGCTGGGTTTAGGCTGTGGGCTGATGGTGGCGGCAGAAGCAAGTGGGACCTAAGTCTACAAAGTTGGGGGCAGCATGGGGGTTGGGTATGATTCTGGCTTTGAGAGGTGTTTGGACTCAGGGACTTCTCCAGTGCCCTCCTACTGCTGCGTCTGCGAATCTCCAGGAGTATGATTCAGTAGAACCATGGATGGGCTGGAGGAGGATGCACGGTGCTGAGAAACACGCTTTAGGCAGAATGTCCTGCAAACCTCAGATCTGTAGTTGCATCTGGACTTGACACTGCAATATCCTCCTCCTGCTGACAACTAGATGGGACAAAGGAGATTAGCTGTCTACTGAAAAGAGTACTTCTCACTGAGCCCTGGAGGAAAAGGACTTTAGCACTTTCATACCTCTTAAAAGTAGGTACAGAGTTTGCACAAGCAGTTGCTTTGAAAAGAAACAAACCTTCCATCAGGCTAGGGCGAGGGAGCTCCCCAAGCACTCTTGTATCAAGGCGGGTCAGGGAGGCCAGCAACCTGCACTTGCTCAAGCTGTGAAGTCTATTCCTGTAGCCAGCTAGTGCTCAGAGGAGATAAATTTTTCCACAACTTTGAAAGGATCAGGGAAATAGCTTCTTGACCCTTGCACCGGAACACCCGCTCATCATCCCTGTTGCACGAAGCAGATAGGCCAAGACTGATGCAATGTGGTGTAAGCAAAGTGAGTCTGGCTCTGCAATGCTGACACGAAGAGGGAAGCAGAACCTGGCGTTAGCTGCTAGGCTGGACCTGTGCCCCTGGCTTTGAGACCCAACGTACTCCCCTGTACATGACTCTGTGCACCACCCTGGACCATCTTTGATTCAGCCTGTGGGTGGCTGCTGAATGGTTTGCAATTCAGGTAGTTTCTAACGCATGGTTCTTCCTCACAGATAACTTTGTGTGCAGTGGGTTTGAGGTCTCCTTTCCCCACATTCCTGGGTTTCTGTATTTATTTAGATACTGCTGAGGCAAAAAGAGGTGAGTGCTCAGAGATGGTGTTTGTGGAACAGCACTGGGGAATTAAGGAGACTCTGGTTTACATCTTCTGGAAAGAGAAAACATACTTATCTTTCTCTGAGTGAATCTAAGCTTTCCTCTTTGCTCTTATCACCCAGGCTAGTGGGCAGTTTTTTATGTGTTTTGAATGAATCTTGAGAGTGGAAGGCATTTAACTTGGCATGAGCACTCTGCTGATTTAGGAGTAAATAAGTAACAGCATTTTGCTGTCAGACTTTTTTTATAATTGTTCAGGTGGAGTTACTCAACAGTGTACATAAGAAATCCAAACAATGAGGTTTTCAGCCTGTGCTATATGTGTGTGTGGTATCCTCATCGTCCTAAAAGGAGCCGGTTAGCATAATGGTTGTGAAAAGCAAACTTTGGCTACACTTTTGGTGCTCCACACTGCTCTGGGGGTTGAACTGACATGGCAATGAGACCTCAGTTCAGTACACAGCCTTTGCTTTGTAAGCCCAGACTTTCCTTTTAGAGAATCGGAGAAGTCAGAAATGGCAATGACTAAAGGCAGGGTGTACTCCATAGGAAGGATCTATTCATTCCCTTAGTCAAGGGTCCTGAGGTGCATAATCACAGTGAATGAAAAGTAGCAATTTTGTTTACTGGTGATGTTGGGCAGGGGGAAGAAATAGAGGCATCCTTTTTTCCTGACTCTGCAGTTAAAGACTGTGTTTTAGGGAGTGTTAGCAAAGGGTATAATACAGCGGGTTTGTAATTGCAGTATGCCAGTATAGCAAATTATTCCCTATGCTCATTCCTCTACAACTGTATGGTTTTCCTTTCCTTGCCACGTCACTTAGTTACAGATCCTCAGGGTGGAAATCTCTGTCATGAGTTGTTATCATGATTGTTACTATTGAATGCCAAGCACTGATGTCCCTCTCCATCAAGAATTGCAACCAGCTACATGGAGGAGCGGGGCAGTGACACTGCTTCTTTGTTTGATACACCTGCCCTCTTTCTGCTCCTACCCTCTCGGCCTTAGGCAGCGCTGAAGCAGTGCTGTCCTGAGGAGAGCCCTGCCTGCTCGTTCACCTAGGTCTGCCGGGGTGATGTCTGCTCAGGATGCTGCCGCTCCTTGCTGAGTGATGGTAACCTTCAGGTTTAAAGTTAGCCCTGAACAGTAAATCATTGAATGTGTCAAACTGGGTATTAAATATTTTTTAAAAACCAAACAAACCCTAGTAGAGCATCAGATTCTCCTCGCTTGTTTCTGGTCATGTGTTGGCTGTGGTATCTGAAGTGCAAAGAAGGGTTAGATTGAGCACTCTTGAACCAATTCTGGGGAGCTTCTAGAAGAGAAGAGTGTGGACACCTGTGGAGGAGGCGATCACATTCTCTTGTTTACCCACTGCCGGTTTTCATGACATTTTACTTTTTCCCATTTTAACAGGGAGATGCATAGGTTTTCCCATTCTTTTTCCTTGTCCCTGCAAGTGCATGTATGGGGAGGTGTAGAATGGGGTTTACTTGCATGTTGGATACTTTGGCATTAACATATTAGCGTTATTAAAATATTACTAGCATCTCATTGCTTAAAAGACTAGGACAAATTTATGTGGGGACTTCTCCTCAGGCTGAAGTTCTGGGGTAAGGAAGCAGAAGTGTTTTGGAGAGTTCACTAATGTCCTTCAGATGTGTTTGAATATTGGGAGGAATTTATCTGACATGCTTCTGAAATACAGCTGTCAGTAGTAGCATGCCTATGTCGTCAGCAGTGTCACTTGTGGAGGAGCTCAGTGCTGGATATCTGCGTGAAGTCTCACGCACAAGAGGTGGGCGGGAGAGAGCGGTTTTCGTAAGGCTGTGCTGCTTCCATTTTGGTGTACTGATTTATCATCTGGTTCCCTGTTTGGGGCCATGGTTCAGGCCTGACAGGCTGCAGCAAATGGGCTTCTGATTTCTACGTAAGAGGGAGACTGTCCCCTCATTCTCTCTGGTGACAGGACCGCAGCGGGAAGAAACATTCTCCTGAGATACTAGCAGTTGCAGGAGTATGTGCCTGCTGGAGCAGCAGGCCTTGCCCCTGCCTTTAACATACTTGCTCTGCTGTCTTTTGGGGATGAGGAAACACGGTGCTGTGGCATGACAGAACTAACACAGTGGTAGGTATGTTTAGGTAACGAGTTAAATTCTCATGGCTGTTTAAGATTTGTAAGCTGGAGCCTGGTGGCCAGGTACCAGCTCTCTGCTTCAGCTGCCGTGGCGCGTGCTGGACTGCTGTGCTTGGGCCACGCTTCTTCAAGCACGTTGGTTTTAGGCGTATCTCTGGCTGCTGCATCTCCCTGTTGTCACCTGATGGGCAAGGGACAGGGGCAGCAGGCAGAGAAGTGTATAACTGTGTTGCACAGGGGCAGTGAAAGAACATTTGTGTTTGTGACTTTGTATTGCTTTGCCACTGGTATTGTTACTTTCTTTGATTGAAATAGACCTTGTTCCTGGCTCTTGCCGTTCTGACAAAGAGAAACAAGCAGCTGCTGGGCTTGGGAGTAAGGATGCGGGCATGTTAGACGATCTTTCTGCTGTAACTTTGCCTGTCATTTTTTAGCAGGGGTTGATAAAAGGTCTTGATGTGGTTTGGGAGGAAAGAAAACTTAAGCTTCATATTCATCTCTGCCTCTGGGGAAAAATGATGCAGCACCTTACTGATCTTCAAGTGGGGTCTGTACTTATTCTGATGCAGCTGGCATGTGACTTCAGAGATTTAGGGCTTCCATAACAGAAATGGCCTGAGGCAGAGCTTTTAGGTGCTATCTGCAGACTGCTGGGAGTGCCAGTCCAGCAGTGATCAGGTGATGGCTGTTGAAGTGGACAAACTGGATGATAAGCTGTGAATGAAATTCAGGGAAATGCTCGCTCTCTCCTGGTGGGAAAGAGGCTGCATACGGTGGGG